TTAGTAATCCATCTATAGCGCTGTCACAAAAAGAGCTGGATTACTTAGCTTTGCATCATTGATCTACAGTAATTTCAATTTTAATTTTTCATTTAATTTTTCCATTTAATTTTTGGTTTTCAATTTCTGGCTTAAAACTTTTACAGTTAACCTTTAGCAAAGAAAGAAAAAGATGAGGCCTCGGTTATGCATTAGACGTGAAAGAAGAGAAAAGGCGGGAATATACAAAGAGTTGAAGTCAGCGCTGTGTAAGTGTCCCTTTCTTTTGGTGTGACTGAACGTTGAGTGTATGTTACGGGTGCGCTGTGTACTCGTGCGTCAGGAACGACGACACGGGCTGCATAGAGGAGCAAGTCGTCTTCTACGGTGAGCTGGTGTCGGTGCTCAAAGAAAGGTTTCAGGTCTTGTGGCAAGTCTCTTCTGGATGGCCACTCCTTTGAGCTTAGTTTTCGTAGCTGGTTACAGACTGTGTCCGATTTTTGGCTTTCTTTTAGCCATTGTAGGCAATGGTCCTTGACTGGGATAGCTTTGTTCAAGGAACAGACAAAAGCTTCGACGTCCTTTTCAAGGTCTGTGTCCCCTGTCTGTTGTAGAGGTGCTCGGGCAAGTGTGTCAGCAGCTAGTAGGTCCTTCCCTGGTACATATTCTACGCTGTACTGGTAGCGCATCATCCTCATCTTCAGCCGCTGGAGTCTGAGTGTCAAGTCGTCAAGAGTTCTCGACATGAGGATGGGGACGAGCGGCTTGTGGTCTGTCTCCAGCTTGAACGTTTTTCCAACCAGGTAATCCTCGAACTTCCCGCATGCCCAGACTAAGGCAAGAGCCTCTTTCTCAATCTGCGCGTAGCGCTTTTCGGTGTCTGAGAGCAATCTTGAGGCGTATGGAATGACAGCGAACTTGCCATCTGTTTGTCGCTGCCGGATCAGTGCTCCAAGTCCGAAGGAGGAAGCGTCTGCGCTGACGACTGTGTCCTTTCCGGGGTCGTATACGCCCAGTACGGGACGAGAAGATAGTACTGTCTTCCATTTGTCAAATGCTTGTTGCTGTGGAGAGTCCCAAAGAAACTCCTGCCTCTTCGACAACAAGGATGAAAGTGGCTGAAGAACCTCTGAAAGGTTTGGCACGAAGCGGGCAAGGTACGTGGCCATATTCAGTACTCTTTGCAGCTCACTTTTGTTTGTCGGGCGTTTCATTTTCAAAATAGCTTCTACCTTCCTTTCATCGGGTCTGATGCCGTTGTAGTCTAGTTGATGGCCTAAGAACGTGAGCTTTTGGACGTTATATAGGCACTTGTTTTCGTTCAGCGTCAATCCAGCTTTGGTTAATCGCTGCAGTACGGTGCGTAGCGTCTCGTTGTGTTCTTCTTCGGTTGAACCCCAGATGAGGATGTCATCCATGTGACAGACAACTCCGTTAATGCCATGCAAAAGACATCTGTTTTTGAAAGTGCTCTGGAGCAGACGATATGCCGAAAGGTAGTCTGTTGAAGGAAAACCTCCCGAAGGGTGTAATGAAGGTGGTGAGCTTCCTGCTGCCTTCGTCCAGTGGAATTTGCCAAAATCCCGAATTAGCATCTAATTTTGAAAATATCTTCGCGCCGTGCAGCAGTCCGAGTGTGTGCTCGACGGAAGGAATGGGATGCCATTCTCTCAGGACGTGATGGTTTAGACCAGTAAAGTCGACGCAGATTCTTACCGATCCGTTTGGCTTGAGGACGACTACCATGGGCGCACACCATTCGGTTGGTTCGTCGACAGGAGAAATGACACCGATTGTCTGCATTCGCTGTAGCTCCAACCTTGTTTTCTCGTACAAGGGTATCGGGATGCGTCGTGGAGAGTTGATACAAAATGGTTCCGCTCCATCGCGCAAGCGAATGCGGTGTTCTTTCTGCAGCTTGCCGAGACCTTGGAATAGTGAAGGAAATTAGACTTTTGGGATTACCTTCTGGGTGACGGCATTGACGAATGTAAGTATCTGACGATCATTGATGGCGGGCTTTCCGAGCAAGGACGTGTGGACGTCGTGAAGCACGTAGACGTCTTGAATTGTTGTCCTGTCGCGGTAAGCGAGTTCGAGTCTTGCAACGTTCTTAGTTGCGAGAAGCTTTGCGTCAGGCCCGTAAAGTTGACGAGGTGCTTCTGAAAGCAGAGGCTGACGTTTGAGCATGTCGAATGTTGCTTGTGAAAGGACGGTTTCGTCGGCCCCCGTGTCGATTTTGAATTTTACGGGTTGGCCTTGAACCAGGATTGTAGTCTCCCATTCCGAAGTTTCGGAGGACTTGACTGCTCCTAAAAATCCTTGTTCGCTGTTGGTTTCAGGCGCTTCAACGAAGTCGACTCGTCGAGACCTGCAAACAGACGAATAATGTCCTTTCTTGTGGCAATTACGGCACACTTCCGACCGCGCTGGGCATTGGGCGCGTCCGTGCTGCTCTTTTCCGCACCAGCGACACGGTCTCTGAACGCCGCTCTTGCTTGAGCTTGGAGATGACTTCACTTCTGTGTGAGGTCGTTCGTCGTTCGCGTGAGCAAATTTCGCCGAAGTCTTGACGAAACGTCTTTGGTTTGCTCCTTGTTGACGCGCCGCGGCGACTTTGTTGACAGTCGACTTGTCGGGATTGAGCTCAGCTTGCTGCTGACGTACGCTTTCGACCTGTCGGACCGTCTCAAGTGCCTTCTGAAGCGTGAGGTCGGCGTCGAGTTGAAGTCTTGCTGAGAGCTTCTGATCTTTGATTCCAACTACTAGACGGTCTCTGACGAGCTGTTCTTGAAGCTCGCCGTAGTCGCAGTGCTTCGAAAGTGCGTGGAGCGCCGTGACAAAATCTTCCGCAGACTCGCCTTCTTGTTGAACTCTCGTGTTGAAACGAGCTCGTTCGAAGATGACGTTTCGCCGCGGGATGAAATACTTGCCGAACTGCTCCATGAAGACTGTAAACTTCTTGGCCTCCTCGGCAGACAGCTGGAACGTGCCATATATATCTTCCGCTTGGTCTCCCATGATGTAGAGCAACGCATCTATTTGGTGCGGCTCGGGCTTGGCGATAAGTCCGGAGGATGTGCGGAAACGTTCGAAACGTTTTTTCCACTTGGGCCACTCGGTCGGTGACAAAATCTTTATGTCATTGCGTGACATAAAGATTTTGTCTCGTCACAAAAACAAAACTGCGAGGGAGATAGACGAAGCATTTTTTATCGCGTCTATCGGAGCTGACACGTGTGTGAGCGCTCCTTCGGTTGCCCTTGCAAATGACGAGGTGGATTTTCTAAGAAAGTGTGGCTGGTTCGTGTGACGGAGCGTGGGCGTGGGTGATGCCGCATGTTATTGGTTTGATTTGTTTGTTCTCTCCCCTTCCTCCTTTCTGTGTTTATTTCTCTTTCTTCAGAGCAATAAACTTTCTTTTTTTTTTCTTTATTGAGCAATAAACTTTCAGTTGTAAGTCAGCGCCCTGTCTGTGTGTTTCTTCGACCTCGTCTTACGTCCTTTTTTGCGCTGTTCCCTCCTAACATTATGTACCACTAACTAGCCCAACTACATGCCTTGTTGGTGTATTAAGTTGAAAGCATATTTTTAACAGTGCGCCGTCATAACTAGCCAGGTTTGTCACGTTTATATGGTTCTTTATGATAGTTTTGTACGTTTCTGCCCACCGCCCCTCATGTAAGGCATTCTCAAAAATTGCCTTTGAGGCAAGGAAATGAAATTAAATATGCGTCGCTGGGCCCACGAAGAGTGCCTCTTTTGTTATTTAGTAAATATAGCTCTAAAAGTGTTTTTTTTTTCGCTTTAAATTTGTTTTATAACTCTTTTTCCAACCAGGCTCTTTAAAACTACAGTTTTTTTTTACTTTCCATGTGTCTTTTAAGGCGTTTTGTAGGTTTACGGTCGTACGATGTCCTCGCTTGGTAGCAGCGGCTGGTCGTTTTCAGCAACAAGTGATCGTTTTCCGCGACATTATAATTTAGGTCGATTGCAAAAGATATCATCGTTTTTTTTCTTGTTTGCGACATCAAGTGTCAGTTTGTTTCATTGGTAATATACATGGGTATTTCACAAAACGCGGGCCAAAATGTTTCTGCGAGAAGTACGCATCGTACAGAAAAGGATATTAATGTTCTGATGGCCTTTGCCAAATATCCCATTAAAACAAATCATCACCATGTCACAGCTGGCTTGAAAAAACTCTGTACATAGAACGGGTTTGATTAATGAGTGCAATATAAATGGTGGTTCTAAGCCCCGCTCCTCCCTCCGTTCCTCTCCTTCGGCCCTTGTATGGCTTCATGGTGCCTAAATATCATTGATACGGAAGCCAAATGACATCGACCGTGCACTCTGAGACGTCCTTGATGAATACTGCGCCCGAATGTATACTCAAAGCCCCAATCATCAACCTTTTTCGAATTTTTGCAAGCAGTGAGATGGGCGGTCCTTTTTAATGGCAGTGCATCACGGGGCAGTATCCACTTCTGACTCTGCTTGCTCTCGAAGTGTTTATGGTATGGATATTTTCCAACCATAAACACCATCGACATCCGTTGGTATGGTTTACAACGTAACCATTTAGGTGTACTTTGTGAAAAAACTCGGACTGTAAAAAAAAATTCTGCGAGCCCAATTTCCTCAAGGGCGCGCACTACAGCGAATGAAAAAGCCCAGAATACGATTAGAATGAAAGCATTTGATGTGCGAAAGGACAATGATTGAGTGAAACGTCACACTGACTTAATGTCCTTGCGCCAGTGTTTACGTCTCTTCTTGTCCTTGTTTTTTCGGCGCCTATCTTCGATCATGAGCCAACTGGCCCAAATTACCGTCCTTGCAGTATCCCATTTTTTTTCAGTTCCAACCGTGTCACGTGCGTGCGCTTGGTAACTTGCTGGAATTCTCTCGTTCTCCGTGATTGGCTGTCATCATGACCCGCAGGCAAGTTAGATTACAAACTCTGGAGTGTATAGAAAGAGCACAAAAAGACGAGAGATTCAGGACCGGTCAACATTTCATTCTCTCTTAGAGAGTCTCCACCTGAGCAGCACGAGGGCCAACAACCGAAACACGACGTCAAAGAGCAGCAGCGCCAAACTGAGGACGTGGAGCTTCTTGCCCGACGAGCCGGTGAACTCGAGGAAGTCTTCCGGATGTTCGTAGAGGCACAGAAAGTCGTCGTCGCAGTCCAAGGGTTCGCGGTCGTAACCGTACACCGACAGCAGGATGCCGTGGTAGGCGTAGTTGCACGGAGAGAGCGACGTCAGCCACCGGACCCAGGGCTGCAGCAGCCGGTCCTGGACACAGAAGCCTCCGAAGATAAAGGAGGGGGACACCACGGGGATTGCCACATACACGGCGGTCTGGAAGGAAATGAGAAGAGATGTCTATGAGACATGTGGCAGCGTTGGACAAACCTTCAGGGAGACTACGCGACGCTGCTGAGACAAACTGGGACACGGCTTATTTTAGCTAGATGCTCCCTGCTCGAAATGGATGAAAGGTAAGGTCGCAAAGGCTTTGACAAGTTAGACATATTGAGTTTGTTTCCCTGCCTACGCCAGTGTCTGCAACTGTCTCGCATGATTTTTTTTTATTTATTCGTTTATTTACTTATTGATCGATTCACTGATTTATCTATCGATCGATCGATCGATTGATCGACTGGCTCTTTGATTAAGTGATTAATTTCTTAACTGATTGATTGATTGAATCCTTGATTGTTTAATTTGCTGGTCGATTGAATATTTGATCAATTGATTGGCTAATTTATTTATCGTTTGGTTGATTGATTGAAAGTGATAAACACGGAGGAAATTAATTTGACATCCTAAATTTTCTACCTTCCAAACTAATGTAGCCACGATATTACTTAATCTCGCCAAAAAGTTTGCTCAAGCTAATATTATCTGTATGACACTATAGTAATAATAGACTTCTCGCCTGTAATTTGGCCACTGCGGACACCATAAGGCCCATTGATTGCACCACAGAGGCCAGTTGTACGCTGAAAAGCATGACACCCGCTGCCCGCCACACTTCCAAAGGCTGAGCAGTCGGGTAGTAGATGAGTGCGATGAACATTATGACAGGAACCGTCTGTAAAAAGAATAAAAAATAAAAGAAAGTGTAAATATATTGCCGCGCGCAGGGTCACGGACTTGTAGAAAGTTCTCGTTCATTCTTGCTGCGGCCATAACTATCGTTCATCCTTGTTTTTGTTGTTCTAGAAACTGCTTGTTCATTCTCGCCCCGAGCGCGCTACGCTCGAACCTTCTCCGCCGAATCTTCGAGACAGTGACTCACTCTAGATAAGAGGCCGCCCGCGACCTTGTCGAGTCAGTTTCGCCCCAGCGCTCGACTCTGCTGTCTCGCCGACCTCGACGCTCGCGACGCTTTGTTATTATTTTCTATTCTCTTTTTGTTTTGGCACAAGTTCGCCACATTAAACGTTTATTTCTTCCTGTTCATTTTTTGTTTATTGGTCATCACCCGTGACATTTTGGTGGAGGTGCGGGGTAACCGCATGCCCGTGCAGCGCTCCCCTCCGAGTTCTCGGAGTGCAAGTCCGAACACAAGCCCCCAAGAACCCAACGAGGACCAGACCGAGACCCGATTAAGTCGCCGGAACCTTGGCCTACCCCCGGAGTTAGGACCCTTGCCACCCAGGACCAGGCAAACAAGGAGGACGACGATGGCCAACCAGTCGGAGACCCCGGCCGCTCCAGCCGTCGTTTACCTGCCCGTCGTACCGCGGACGGCTGCTCCATTCCACGGCGAGCAATACGAAGACGTCGAAGACTGGATTGACCAGTATGAACGCGTTGCCCGCCACAATTGCTGGACCGACGAGCAGCGCCTGAACAACGTCTATTTTTCGCTTGAGGGTACCGCCAAGCACTGGTACGAGAATCATGAGTCCTCTTTGACGTCGTGGGACATGTTCAAGACCGATCTCAAGGCTACGTTCAGCAACCACCACCGCCGAGAGAGAGCCGAGGACCTAGTGCGAACCAGAACCCAGGGCCCCAACGAGAGTGTCACCGGCTTCGTCGAGGATGTTCTTCGCCTGAGCGCCCGCGCCGATCCTCAGGCTACAGAGGAGAAGAAGCTGCGACACCTGATGAGGGGTGTGAAAAGCGAGATATTCGGAGGTCTCATTCGCAATCCCCCGACAACTGTGGACGGGTTCGTCACGGAGGCGACGAGTATGGAACGTGCCCTAATAGCACGCGCCAGGCACTACGAGCGACACCCTGGCGTGACTACTCTGGCGACATCCGGATACAACCTTGGTACCGACCTCCCAGGCATCCGTGACATCATCCGTGAAGTCGTCCGGGAAGAAATCCGCAAGATGCTCCCCGCTATGGATCGCCCGTCCTCCCTGTCGCTCGCCGAGGTCGTGCGAGATGAAGTTCATCGGGCCTTCCAACCTGAGGTTCCGATCAACATGTCGACGCCAGAGGAGCCGACTCTGAGCTACGCCGCCATGGCCCGACGACCGCCGCAAGCTAACCGCCAGGCCACGGCGCCACCCCGACGAGACCCTCCGATGCCACAGTATCCTCGACGCCAGGAAGGGCAAGTCCAGGACGTCCGCCCGGAGCAACCGTCGTCGAGGAAGACCGACGTGTGGCGAACGGCCGACCGACGCCCGCTCTGCTACCACTGCGGGGAACCCGACCATGTGTACCGCCGATGTCCATACCGACGACTCGGGCTGCGCGGATTCCACCCAAACGACCCGCACCCCGGTATGGTGAACGCCCTCGGGAGATCGACGAGTACCTTCGACGACCCCAGTCCCCCGAGCCTGCGTCCCGCCGAGAGTTCCGGTCGCCATCGCCGCGACGTCCAGCTTCGCCGATGCACCGACCCCGACGTGAAAGCCTGTCACCCCTCGCTCCTCGCCGGGGAAACTAGGCGCGGCAACCCCTGGAGGTGGAGTTGCCGAAGACGACCGACGTAAAGAGCCTCCAAGAACGACGGAGCGCTCCCACTCCCCCGACGCCACGCATCGCTACGACGCCCCTGCAACGGTGTCCAACAACCTAAACGTCGTCATTGACGGCCACGACGCTTCGGCACTCGTGGACACCGGAGCAGACTACTCAGTCTTGAGTGGGAGGCTCTCCCGCCGCCTTCGAAAAGTCATGACGCCGTGGGAAGGACCCCAAATACGAACCGCCGGAGGACATCTCATCACACCAGTCGGGAGATGCACTGCTCGCGTCGAGATCCACGGTGAAACGTGCCCTGTCAGGTTCGTCATTCTGCAAGACTGTTCGAGGGACGTTATCCTCGGAATGGACTTTCTCTGCGAGTATGGCGCCGTCATCGACCTCGGAACAAACCGGCTGACGCTACGAAAACCTGCTCCACCATCGGAGGAACCCCAAGCGACGTCACCCACGGTCCGGGTCCTCGCAAACCACGTAAACCTACCACCGCGGTCGAGTGTTTTCGTACTTGTCGGGATCGATGAAGCTACCTATGGCGAAGTTCTTCTCGAGGGAAAGCTCCAATTGCTCCTGGGAAGAGGCATAGGCGTCGCAAGGGGAGTAGCTGAACTTCAGGATGGGCGGACTGTGGCCCTCGTGACGAACTTCCGAAACGAAACGCAACACCTCACGAAAGGTGCAGCCGTGGGCCACGTCGAGGAACTCCGAAACCCCACCGAAATCACCGCGATTACTGACGAATTCTCGCCGCCCAGCAAGACAGTACGTCGCCAGCGCAGCTCGACATTGACCCTAAGCTTCCGGACCCTAAACGACGTCAGCTGGTTAACCTCCTCGCCGAATACCGCGACTGCTTTGCGACGTCGTCGAAGGTGCGCCAGACCGCGGTTGCCAAGCACCGCATCGTTACCGAGGACGACGCGCGCCCTGTGCATCGATCACCGTACAGAGTCTCCGCTAAGGAAAGGGAGGTGATCCAGCAGCAAGTTCAAGAGATGCTGAATGACGACATAATCCAACCTTCAAGCAGTCCATGGGCCTCTCCAGTCGTGCTGGTTAAGAAGAAGGACGGAACCCTTCGGTTCTGCGTGGACTACCGGCAGCTCAACACGGTTACGAAGAAAGACGTCTACCCACTGCCCCGCATCGACGACACTCTAGACCGGCTGCGCCACTCTCGATACTTTTCATCGATGGACCTGAAGAGCGGCTACTGGCAAATCGAGGTCGACGAACGGGATTGAGAGAAGACAGCCTTCGTCACGCCGGATGGACTGTACGAGTTCAAGGTGATGCCCTTCGGACTATGCACGGCACCAGCAACTTTCCAGCGTGTCATGGACACCGTACTGGCAGGGCTGAAGTGGCAGAGCTGTCTCGTCTACCTGGACGGCGTCGTAGTATTTTCAGCTGACTTCGACGAGCACTTGCGACGACTCCGCACGGTTCTCCATGCCATACAGACCGCCGGGCTCACTCTCAAGCCGTCAAAGTGCCGGTTCGCCTATGACGAACTGAAGTTCTTAGGTCACGTGGTTAGTAACGAAGGCATTCGTCCAGACCCAGAGAAGACTCGCGCAGTCGCAGCATTTCCAGTACCAAGAGACAAGAAGGCCGTGCGAAGGTTCCTTGGGCTATGTGCCTACTATCGGCGCTTCGTTCGAGATTTCGCAAGGATTTCCGCACCGCTCACAAACCTCACGAAGGACGCCGAGAAGTTCGAATGGGCCGAGGAGCAGCAGCAGGCATTCGACGAGCTGAAGCGACGACTGCAGACGCCTCCTGTTCTTGGACATTTCGACCAGGATGCGGAAACCGAGATTCACACGGACGCAAGTAACGCAGGACTTGGCGCGGTACTGGTTTAAGTTCAAGAAGGCACCGAGCGAGTCATCGCCTACGCAAGTCGGACATTGTCCAAGGCGGAGCGAAATTACTCCACGACTGAAAAAGAATGCCTTGCGGTCGTCTGGGCAATCACGAAGTTCCGCCCGTACTTGTACGGGAGCCCGTTCCGTGTAGTCACGGACCACCATTCGCTCTGCTGGCTTGCCAACCTGAAGGACCCGTCAGGACGTCTTGCTCGATGGAGCCTCCGACTACAAGAGTTTAACATGACAGTGGTCTACAAGTCCGGCCGGAAGCACAGCGACGCCGACTGCTTGTCCAGAGCCCCCGTCGAAACCTCTTCCGGCTGCAGCGACGACAATGACGACGAGAGCTTCCTAGGAGCTGTAAACGCCGACGACATGGCACGACGTCAACGGGACGATCCTGAGCTGCGCGCATTAATCGAGCACCTGGAAGGGGGTGGGGGTACCGTGCCACGTGTTTTCTCACGAGTACTGCCGACCTTCGCCATTCGACGAGGTGTACTCTACAAAGAGAACTTCGGCGACAACAGCACACCGTGGTTGCTGGTAATCCCGACCGACCTTCGGGAGAAGATCTTTCAAGCATGTAACGACGACCCGACGTCGGGACACCTCGGTTACAGCCGAACACTGGCCCGTATTCGTGAAAAGTATTACTGGCCAAAGCTCCCCAAAGCCGTCCACCTCTACGCCCGATCGTGCCACGAGTGCCAGCGACGTAAGAAACCGCCAACGAAACCGGCCGGTCTCCTGCAGCCGATCGCTCCTCCGACCGCACCGTTCCAGCAGATCGGAATGGACCTACTTGGCCCCTTTCCGCCGTCAACATCGGGAAACCGCTGGATAATCGTCGCCACAGATTATCTCACGCGGTACGCCGAAACGAAAGCCCTCCCTTCAGGGACTGCTGTGGAAGTCGCCAAGTTTTTCATCGAGACCATCGTCCTCTGGCATGGCGCCCCCGAAGTCCTGATCACAGACCGAGGGTCATCGTTCATGGCACAGCTGACCCAAGAAATCCTGCGTCTCAGCCACACCAGCCATCGTCGCACCACGGCGTACCACCCGCAGACCAACGGGCTCACGGAAAGACTCAACAAGACCATCGCCGACATGATTTCCATGTACGTCGACGTGGAGCACAAGACATGGGACGAGGTGCTGCCGTACGTCACCTTTGCCTACAACACGGCCGTACAAGAGACCACCGGAGTGACACCCTTTCAACTGGTGCATGGGCGCAGGGTAACGACAATGCTGG